AAAAAAGCGTTTTGGCCTGGTAATGATTTGAAATGGCCTTCAAAAATTTTGGCACCAACTATAAAGAAGTTGAAATGACGCCCCTGTATCTATAATACACTTACGATTTTATCTATATACTTGTACTTTAATACATATACGTTTATACGTTATAGGTGTTTTTCAACGGTGTGATATTGTCCTAATTTTTTTCAGCTGCTCTAATTAGTAATTTCCTACCTAAATCATTTAAAGACAATTTTGTGTCATCCTCAGAATTTTACAAATTATGGTTGGATGTTTAATATGTCTACAGACGTCAAATGGATGATTAAACTATTCAGTACCTACCTATTATTTCTTGGTCATATTATTAGTTCTGTATCTGCCTACTATCAAGTTCCCTTTATAAAAMTGGTTAGTTTCAATGCTGTACCTATTTATATTTCACGWGGTAGATGAACACGTGGGTGAAAATAGTTTTTCTTACGATTGGGACTTTTGTTCAATAGATAAGTTTTACTCTGCCACTCTGCTATTTAGTATTATTATCATTGATTAAATTTAACATATATTACCTACAAATATATCATAAAATTATATGTTTAATCAATGTATGTACTTAACGAACTGAAGTTTTTAATTTAAAAATGTTATTAAAACGCATAGATATGTATAGTTTAGATAAATTTAACACGCTTACACTATGGATTTATATWTTATTTATCAATGGATCTAACTAAACGTCATATAGGAACACTGTTATTATAGAGTTAACATTTGTATGTGGGTAATTGGGAGTTATAGACATTTTAGTTSTAATAACTTTAACTAGATATTAAAATTCAAAATACAGTTTATAAAGTTCAATTACGTATACCTAATACCAATACCCTTTGCATATTATTATTAAATAATTACATACTCAAATATAAAATATTATTATAATAATTTATAATACAATCGAGCCAATGAATACGATTTGGTGGAATAWAAACTGGGTAGTAAATCGTTTTATCAAAAATACAAACGTTAATACTAAAATTCCAAGTAAAATGTTATAATTAAAGGCACATGTCGGCGAGCCTTTTTTGGAGTTGTTACTCCAATTTCGGTGGAAAGTGGTGATTTTTCTACACTATTTTTCTATCCATGAACGCGGTTTTAAGGTTACGTTTGTTCCAGTTCTCTCCGATCGAACGGCGAGAAAGACATCGGCAAGAAGACCCTGCGCGCCGACGTGACAATAATAATAATTGCGTTTAGAGATGATTACAATATTTATTACGAGATAAACAGATCGATATCTAGTTTTTGGCGGATAGCTGATGATTTCGACAAATGTCAAAAAACAGGGGAAACAGGGCCCGACTGGACCGGTCGTTTTTTGACCGCGGAACGTTTCGTGTCGCAAGTGCTCATCGCCGTACACGAAAGGAGTAAAATATGGAAATATTGGAAATGCGGAGGAACGGGCCCGCCGCCGACGTGCTCRCGCGCGAGAGTCGGTGGCGCCGCTGTATAGTATATAGTTGCTACTACGCAATAGACTGACGTCACAGTCACGTTTTCGACATTGTGCGGTGGCGTGCGCGGGCCGTGGTGGTGTGTCAGCCGCRGTCGCGGGTCGGGGGGTCCCCCTAACCATTCCGATTGGGTCAATGTCTGGTGCTGCGTCCGACGTCGTTTCCAAAATGGAGACACAGTCGCGTCGGACTCGTGATTAAAAAAAGATTTACGAWAACACGGACGACCCGAGGCGAAAGCTCGTTAACGGCCGACGACGACAAGCGCACAATTTGGGCCGCTCAAATTTAGTATAGATTCTCGTCGAAAAAAGTCGAATTTCAATATATTATTCTCGTCCGTTTCTCCCGTGGTCGGGAGTTTAGTTGGTCCGTTAACGCCAAGCCGCGGTCTGCTTGTGCGCGCGCCAGTGTGTGTGTGTGTGTGTGTGTGTGTGTGTGTGTGTGTGTGTGTGTGTGTGTGTGTGTAGTGTGTACTGTGTTTGAGTGTGTGTGTGTGTGCGCGTACTGCGTACAGTCCATCGTTGTTTTCCAATGTGCTGCTCTGCCGCCGCCACCACTACCCTCAGGTAGTAGCGTACGCTAGCGTAGTATGTGGGCCGCGAACCAGGCCAGATAGGCGTATCAGAAAAATTTCTTCTTTTTTTTTTTATCAATAAAAAAAAGTGCAGAGCAATAAATCACGTTTCCTTTTCTCGTTTCGTTTTGTGCGGCACACATTTTCCATTACCACCCGTGTGTATGTGTGTTTACGCCGAACTTCCGAGTTCTTACGAATTATGTAAAACCGAAGAGCAGCCTGCACATTAGGTCGACGACGCCGACGACGACTGCTGTCTGCTACGACGACGACGAAGGTTGATAGAAGAGCTTCTCCGAGGAGAGAACTCGACGACGATTTTCACACCACTCGCCGGTGGACATGAGCGGAAGGCCTAGGACCACTTCCTTTGCTGAAGGAAATAAGACTTCTCCGAATCCTCCTCTGGGCGGAATTAAAGTCATAAGTACGTAATTGCACGCTCTTTCACACATTCACTCATACATTTGAACTCTTACCATTGTGAGCACCATAAATTACTTTATTTTATATTACCATTTTCGAAATACTTACCTACAACGACAGCATGTCACCTTGACTAGCTAACTGACGCTACTTATACCTAATCTACTGCTATACGCTCACTGACTCTCATTCTCAAAGTGGTCAAGAGATATTTTAAAGTAGATAGAAAGATGTATTCTGCAACTAAATAAAACATAMAAAATCAGTGATATCTACTTTGGCCATATTACAGTTTTTCATYCCTATCACCCATGTAGTTCTACTAATTATTTATGATATGCTTCCACAGAATTTATTCTGTGTCTCTACCTATCTATTGAAAACTTCAAGGTAATTTGATAAATCTATCATGCATGTTATTTATTATATATCTACATTCCTCAGCCTCAATTTCTTGTTTTATAATTTATAAGTACCTAGGTAGGTATKTTATTTGTGGATTAATGATTCCTTGTTTTTCAATAAAATGTATTTAATATGTTGAAAAGAACACTTGCAATTTCTGATAGTAAATAGGCAAGTTAATCAACTGTAATGAACATTATGTGACAATACTTTCAGGCATTTTCTATGGGCATAATTTCTTACTAAGAGATTGGTTAATATTTATTTTTCTGACAAAGGAATCAGTTCTGATCTATATTAAATTATAGCTACAAAAACATTCACCATTATAATGTTTAAATAATGTATTTAAATGTGTCATTTGCTAACTATATTAGATAAAATATTAATTATTATCACAATTAAAAAATCAGTCTAAGCCTACTATTATTCATTAGTCATATTATGGTACTTACTATCCGTGTAATACCTACTACCTACATGTATTGTAATTTCAAATTTTGAATTATGCATTATTATAACTGATTGAATAAATTTAGCAATATGTGTATTCCTAGCGAGATTCCTAGTTAAATTTGATTGTAAATACCTATAAATAACCTAATTAAACTAAAATATTCTACTTTGAAAATTTCAAGGAAAATGTACTCTTTGTTTTTAATCCCATTGATAATTATAATTTAATTGCATTTTTATTTTAACTTCAATTCATTTTATAACATTTGAAAGTTTATTTACACAAAAAAAATGTATTTACCAGTACTTACTTATGCAAACAAATTTAGTAATTTCTCAATAATTTCTTTCATGGTATGTAACACTTATTAGATTGGARGTAAATAAAGTTGTACATATCTTATATTTTAAAATATGGTACCTATTTTAAATGTTTATAGAAAATCTGGGAATAGATGATAGGTACGTAAAAGACAATAGTATACAGTATATACCTAACATAAATATACTGGGTGTCCCAGAGATCTGACATTCTGATAAATGAAATAACTTTGTTCTTATCAATATTTAAAAAAAATTCTTTTAAATATAATATTTATAATTTATAAATCACATATTATTAAAATAAATAGGTACTATAAAAAAATTATTAGATTTTAACATGCACCTATTTAAAAATGTTCTTTTAAAATATTTTAAAAAAATTTATATTATTTGAAATTGAAATGTATCTAACATAAACTAGATCGTAATTTACTTAACGGAAATATTGATATTTAAAAAAATTGTAAAAAAACAGTGATTTAACTTAAATAAGTGTTTACATCGTATCTATAAACTTTTCTGAAAATCAGATTTATAAATTGGCTATATTGAATATTTTGAAAAAAATTGTCAATTTTTAAGTTTTTTAATAAAAAAATAAATAAAATAAAGGTATTAAAAAATAAAGGTACTTGTTTGTTATCGCCYCGCCAGTACACCGTATAMCATTTATCTCCCCGCCATTCTTATTTGTTATCACCCTGCATATAGTTATCGTGTTTAGCTCATGATAGATGATCTATTTTGGTAAATATTTTAGGAGATAACTACACTTTGCGAGACATTTTATATCATACTAATATAATATCAAATAAATAATAATATTATATTAGTAYGTTGCTGGCTTAATAAAATGTAATAATAAAAAGATATTTCTGAGTTCTGGCCTCCTTTGTAAATTTTTATTATTATTTTTTTAAATTTTTTTATTGTACCAAAATAAAAA